TATTGCAGAGTAATCTCTGTTTATACTGAGAAAAATACCTGCATTTGTATTGCCGATATTACTGCAATACTGGCACTGGCCAGGCACCCTCAAATACCAGCTGTGCCAGTAAAATACCAGTCAGGTGGCAAACCTAAGAGTAGTGTGTGTAAAAAAAAAAAAAATGTAAATTATTTTTATTTTTTTAAATGGGCCTATTCCATGGGCCTGGAGCTGCAGCTCCATCAGCCCCTATGTTAATCCGGCCCTGCCCTTAGCCCTACAATGTTTTTATTGTAGCGTTAAGACTGCCTCTAGTGGCTGTGTCTCAGACAGCCATTAGAGGTGCTTCCTAGAGTTTCACAGATTGACTCAGTGGAATGATGCTGGACGTCCATACGCTGTGCATAAGGATCTCCAGTGTCCTCAAATACCCCATAGGAAAGCATTGAATAAAGGTAAAGTATTAAGGCAGTTGGCAAGAACGCCATGAAGATTCCATTGCAAGCTTGGCCTTGTTCACCCTTCCTCCAGTAAGTGCATATGGGGTGGAGGAGGGGGGTTGAAAAAATGGGCCTACCTGCATTTATCTTGGTGTGGAGGTATAAATGTCTCTAAAATTAACATTCTTCCAAGTTTACCTTACAATTTTCAGACAATGCCCATGGAACTCCTACAGGCTTTTTTCTCCTCTCTCCGAAGTACGGCCATAGCATACTTTTGGATTCGGCACTCACCCAAGATTAAAATATTAAAGCTGGGGAAGCTCTTGAGCTCAACAATTTTCAGCACTACATGCTGCACACCTGTTGATGGGTGCAGGAATGGCACATGGGAAATACTGATTATGGCTGAAACTAAAAAGTGACAGGTCTGTTTGTCTCCTGGGGGTTGCCTGGTTTGGCTCCAGTTGCATTTTCAGACAGAATCATTCTAACAGTCCGACTGCAGCAACGAATCTGGTTCAGGCTCCGGAAGAACACCCAACAGGTGGCCATGCCTAGACCCTTAATCTCACTAACCCATAATCCTGAGTTAGCTGAGGTTTTCCCTCAAAGATTTTTGTCTTTCCCGAGCCTTAAGGCAGTGATCTCGATCGGGAAGTTTAGTTGTCTCTGGGTTGAGGAGACTGGAGGACTTTAAAGCCGACAGATTGCCTATCTTTTTGGAAAGGTTTCAGTTTACCCAGATCTAATACTATTAGAATTAACTGCCAAACAAGACTAGGCTAAATTGATAGTTGACATCCTTTGAAGACCTGTGTCAGAGGGGTGAATGCATGGTGCTTGCTTTTATCAATTTCTCATCAATTGCAGCACTGTCACGATCTGGGGACTTTACATAATTGCATAAATGGTGACATCGCCGCTCAGGGTTTAGATGGCTGGAGGGGCAGGCAATGGTGATTTTAACTTAAATTGTCCTTACCTGTCCTTCGCTGGTGCTCCCATCTTCTTCCAACTGGTCCTCTTCTGCTCCTGGCACTTCAGTGAAATTCAAACTCAGTCAATATGAGTATTTCATAAAGATTTTAGTAGTAGGGGGGGGAAGTTCTGCTTTAAGAGAAGGTGAGAGAAAATGTTCGGTACTTTGTTCTCAGATAAATATTCTAGTTCTCAGTGGTTTAAAAATATTGCTCCTGAATTATAAAAGTTTGGTTAGTACCTAATTTCAGGAGACAAATTACAAAGTCCTTTCACAATGGTACCAAACACCAGCTACATAGGACCTTCCTAGGAGCCTCAAATCTTTCTGGAGATATGGTGTAGATGTAGCGGCATCGCTACATATTTGGTGTTCCTGCCTTGCTTTCTGGGAACAGGTTAGGAACACTTTTACAGAACTACTGAATGACTCTCCACTGTTTGGGGTTGGGCATGTCCTCCTGTATGGTACAGCATAACCAATCTCTAAATATAAAAAATCAGTTTTCCAATTTTTACTGAATGTTGCCAAGTCTCAAAATTCCTTTTTTCTAGAAGTCACCAGAGACACCATCCTTTCAACTTTGACTTTCTAACAAACATTGAACATATTAAAGCATTGCAGGTCTGCTTGCCTCTATCCAAGATCTGATGGAAAAATACACTCTACTATGGTACCTCTGACTGGATTATATGTCAAACCAATTCAGGGTTGTCATAGAGGTCACAGAGAATTATATATCCTTTCCTTTTTATGCACTTGTTTATCTGTTCTCTAAAGCATTGGTGTCCAACCTTTTGGCTTCCCCGGGCCACAATGTGTGAAAAGGAATTCTCTTAGCACATAAAATATATAATATGATTACTTTACATAATAAAACTTCAAAAACCCATTTATTCATTTTGATATTTTATTTGTTTAGTAGATAACTCCCTTATTTTTTATCCTTATGTAGGATTTCCATATTTACTGATACCAAATTAGGGAGCTATCTACTAAACACATACACATTTATATACATACATACATACATACATAACCACAGATATACACATACATACACACACGATCACAGATATACACACACACTTCGCTCTGGGAGGGCTTGAGTGGATCCTCTCCCTGGTGGCGATTGGTTCCTGCTGTTATGGGATCACTGTGCTTTTCCTGCACAGTTCCCTTGCACGCCCCGTAGTGATGGTAATGCTGGGATGATGTCATATCCCCGCTGCCGACTCACTGCAGGGTGCGCTAGGGAGCTGTGCAGAAAGAGCACAGTACGTAATAGGCTCACTGCCTCACTCGTCGCCCAGCAGCCAGGTTGGCAACTGAGACACATTACAGGGACACATGCAGCCTGCTCTAAAGCATACTGTGTACTTGGAGTAATTACTGTGGATTACTTGTTATATTGTCTACAGTTTGCAATGCTTTATTGATACTTAATGTCTTTTGCCCTTTATCCTTTAAAACCACAAATAAAGATTGTTAAACAATACCAACAGGTTTATTTATTAAATGCTGATTTTTTGCAAAGTAAATACAAATGAAATATAGAGACAAGCTGCAAAAATTCTTCAATTCGGCTATTGGCACACCTATTTTTCCTCAGTTTTGCCATCTGGATTTAATTAGCAAACTTTTTTTACGTAGTTCCAGTACTCCGGCCGAGTACCTTCATCAAAGTTCCTCTCACTGGAAAAGAAAGCACTGAAGTGACTATAACCAGGGCCGCCATCATAAATTTTGGGGCCCCTAACACTGTTTAAGGTCTGGGCCCCCCATTGACCGCCTAAAGCCCACCCCCAAATCCTGCCTCAAAACCCCACCCACAGGAAAACACACACACAGACACAAACACACGCATTGGTACAAAAATTACATAGATACACACACACACAAAGATATACTGTCACGACTGCTAGTGTGGTCCAGCACGTAGAACTATGTAACGTCTACAGAACAGAAAAGGACAGAACGTAAACTGGTCCTTAAAATGGCCGGACTAATACGTTAAAGACAGAGAATGGTCAAGGTGAAGCCGAGGTCAAGGAAGCCAGAAATCTACATTATCGTTTAACAAGCGAAGTCAGGGAAACCAGAAATCAGAATAGTCAGGAATAGCCAAGATCAAAATACCGGGAATATCAAAAACACGACAAGAAAACGCACTCTCTGGAACCAGGAACGGAAAGCATGACAGGGCAATGAACCAGCGAACTTCAGGGATTTAAATATCCCTCCTTTGGCTGTGATTGGTCAGAGGGTGACCTCTGACCCCAGAACGTAAGTGTGCCTCGACGCCCCTGTTGCACGAGCCTGGGCGGCT